ATAATGAATTAATAGGCAATTATATGAATACAAGTGAATATGGATATGAAAATACACTGCATATGAATATTCTGACTAAAAAGATGCGAAAGTAACAGAACGTTACGAGCCAGATATTTACTAGTTTCGAGGTAAACATTTGTGAAACAGCAACCACCGCCAAATTTTTGCTTTATTCTTTTAGGCCGACTTACATATTTATAAAAAAGTTATATAAATTTCAAATCATAGTTAGTTTATTTTCCAGTTAAATTACTATTTAGTAGGCGCATTAAATCGTGTGTGCATAAAATTAAGGGATTCATAAAACTTACAACGGAAATTATAGAAATCATAAACAAATCTCATTTTAATGATGATCACAAAAGCACCCCTCGTTCTTAAGTGGAGACATTCAAAATAGCCGTTAGTGATTCCCTCGCCTCTTAAAATGATAGTAATTGTGGTACCAGCACAGTAACAAGCCTCACTTTAAGAATAATATATATATGCCCTTGAGTTTTTCATGTAATGAGGTCAAAATACATTAAGGATACACCTTGCCAGTAATGGCAGAGAAGATAATTGGAATGAAAAATTGTAAGAGAGGATAGTGACTGGAGATGACGTACCAAGATAATCGTACATTAATGTACCAACGGCGAACTAAAAAGAAAGTTATATTGAAATGGATTAGCCCTACCAAATCATTAACATCGACTCTTACGCCAATAATTTTCACCCTAATACGGTCATCCACTTGAACTGCTTGGTGCTTAAAAGGTGTTGTTTAAAAATAACCTACTTCTTCCTCGTCTTCATTATCCAACTCGTTCGTGGTATCAGCACCTTCAAATTTAATATTTGGAGGTATAGACTATTAATAATTTAAAAATATTCTTACATATTTCGAAATAAAAAGTCTAAGTGGACCAGCAGTTGCAAAGACACCGACTTTGGTTATCTGTGAAACGATTGCTTCAATGACCTCTCCTTTAAATGGTCGAAATACTATGGCCCGATATATTATGTGAAAACGAGCAAATCCGCTATTAGGAGTCAAAATACCGGAGCCAACATGTTCAATATTGGTGACAGCAATGATGAACCCATACCT